TAATTTTTTAAATTATATTTTATAAAATATGACTAAAATATTTGAAATTAAAACTAAAATTATTTTTTATTAAAAAAATATTTAATAATTTTTTTAGAAAAATTATAAGTAGTCAAAAATTATATTTAATAAATATTTAATTAAAAAATGACCCAAATACCTTTGCATTAACACCATTAACTTTAACATTAGATGTTATGACAAAAAATGTCCCATTTTAAAGAGTTGATTGGTCCCTCAAAATAGTTGGGAACTATTTTGATCCCTCACAAAGAGTTGAGATACCATTTTGATCATTTTTTATAATAAATGGCTCACTAATTAGAATTATATAATTTAGAAAAAGTATATACCAAAGAACCTCACTTTGCTTATCTTTTATAAGCAACTCCATAATTAATACACAAAGATATAAATTCAATGTTGGTCCTTGATGAAAAAGTATAGTAATTGAAAATTGTTTGGTCGTCGTACAACTATTTATAACACGAATCAATGCTAGCATATCGTTGACTCACACATTCATGCCTTAATGCATGCCAAATAAATTCAAGTGATGCTATATCATATAGCTTCTCAATATCAACAAAAAACTACATAGATAATTTCTATCCTATACGCTTCTTTATTCATTATCTTAACAAAAAAATCATAATAAATCTTCCTAAAATAAACCAAATTAGCTCTCAAAAATTAATGTAATTTTTTAAGTATATGCTTATAATCTCCAATAGCTTCATTGTAAACTCAAGTGTTCGATTTCTATATAGTTAACATAATCTTGAACATCAACTTAGTTTTTAAATATTGGTATAAATACTTCTTCTTTAATCATTTAGAACTCTCTTAGTCTTCAAAATTCTACTAAAAAGATTCTTTAACTAAATCACTACGTTATCCCTTATAACTCTCAAATATCAATAGAAATCTCATAAGGACCAAATTTCTTACCTTTATGCACCATTTTAAGAGGCAGCTCTACTAAACTTTTTTTGAATCAATCTATTTAAAAATCTCATTTAGAAAATTTTCAAAGTAGCATTTCATCTTTCCTTAATATCTTCATCTTTAACCAATCCTATTATCTTAATTTTTAATACCCTAACTTGCTAGTTCTCTTATCCCTCACCTTCTCTATTCTTTATCTTTGTTTCTCAATAATTCCAAATATATAAACAAATCAACAAAAGTTATAACCTTTGTTTTCCACACCAACCTTTTGCAAGATTTCTAATTTACTTATAATTATAAGTCTCAACAGTATATAATTTTTGTTAACTTTTAAAAGCACATTTATACTCCTTAATATCCCTTAGTACATCTTCATTCCCACAACAAATCTCCTTATAAGCATATGATCTGTTTTTAGACTCTCTTAAGACTTCTATAGCAACCCTCTAATGGGAGCTAGGAGCTTATTTCACATCCAATTTGACTCAACTAAAAAATTGTAATTTGCTTTCACAAACAAATAATCTTAAAAGAATAATAATTTTCCACCTTTCAAATTAAATCACTCATTTTAGAGAATTTTTTATTACTTTCTTTATATGCTTAAAATATATATCTATGTCTAATAACCTATTATGTATGGTTAAACATTCTTTTGGTATTAGTATAATAACCAAAATATTTACTTTCCTTCTAAATTAAAAAAAAACATTTAATTTTAATTTGGTGACTCCACATTTGTAAGTAACCAAGTGTTCTTCATGTCATGTGTTTATTATTTCAAAATCATAGGCTGTTGTGAAATCAAGCATAGTTTCACATATTACATTTTTATTTCTTATTTCATAACCACCATAAATACGCTTAAAACTTACCTCTATGCACGTTTAAATCATCTCTAACAAACACCATTTCTTCAAAAATCATATGTTTACTTCATCCATCTTTCCAAAATATTATTTTTTAAAACTATATTCAAATTCAACTTGAGAGGTTAAATACTAACCAAATTCATAATTTCCTCAATAAATATTTTAATAACAACCATCTTATCACTAAACCTATTAGCCTCAACAAATTTATATTTCAATTCTTTATCAACAATTATCCCAACCTAATTCCTATTATCAATTTTTTCAAATTTATAGTAACATATAATCTTACTAAATGTCATTAATTTTTCTCTTTTCCATTTAACTTATTGTAAACTAGTAACAGTTTGTTTTCCGTATTGTCATGGCACCCAACAATTCTCATATTTCCATTCTACGTCCCCCAAATTTCATGTCACAGATATAATAAAAAATGCAAACCTAGTAAACCCATATATCCTTTTAATCACAATCGAGTTAACATGTGGTATGTCACTCAAGGGTTTTATTCTAAAATACTTTTTTATATTTCATTAAAGTAGGGTTACATTGTGGTCTGTAACTTAAGGGAGACATCCAAGCCCACATTTCTATTCTTATCACCACAATCGGGTTAGGTTGACTTGTGTCCTTTATAAGAATGCCTTAGCACTAAGAAAATTCAAATTCAATTCATTTCATTAGGTTGGACCTAAGTTTTAAGATTGTACTTTAATATAATATCAACCCTCAATCCTTCTCATCAGGCTTAGGGACCAACAACAAATTTATCAAGAAAAACAAAATACCACCAAAAATAATGCTACCCACCAAAAAATTAATAGAATGAAAAAATCACATAGGTTGATCATATAGAGGGACCCGCCACTTATCATTTATTAAGTGCCCTCTATTTAATTTTTGGCAGCACCTAAATCAAAAATTAGGCAAAACAACTTGATGGAAAGGAGAAGATCACATAGGTTTAGGTTCCACTCATGGTTATCAATTTAGATTGAACTCAAACAGTCAAATTATAAATTTAAAATTTGTAATGTCTAAGTTCGGGCAATTTACCAACCAATAGAATTCTTTTGAAATCTCAGCCAAATGGTAATATGCCGACAAGCAAGATATTACTTTGTCATCTTCTATTACGGTGGCTTATTGATGCATGCAAATGGTAAGTCAACGCTCAACAAGAATAAAAAAACCCCACGTATAACGTTGTGAACCTTTGTGATAATTAATACTCGAAATTGTGCTTGCTGTTTGATTTTGTTACTGGTATGCTAAGCATCAATAGCATATTGAAGCATTTTATTCGTGATTGAGATTTTTCTAACTACCATTTTCTTTTTTAAAGTAACATTTTCATGAGCAGTATTCAGACCAATTGAGGAGCTCGAGTAAGTCTCTGGAAAACTACATGCATTTCCATTTTCATTTATAGTGGACATCGAGATGCAGAGAATACATAAATTAATGAGAAGAAAACAACCTAGAAAAAATATATATATGATAGTTATGGAAAGGTGTCAGAATATGTCCTCATGTACCCATCATGTTCATGGTATGAGCTAAGTATGTCACCCTGCTGCTTCTCCTTTTGTTCATCAAGATCCTTGCATACATTTTCTTCATCTGCTTGAGATATTTCACGAATCAGTAAAGTGGTGCCTTCTAAAAGTGCCGCAGAATATAAAACCAGCATCATAGTTTCAAACAACAACAACAAGCATGTATCCCATTATGTGAGGTTGGGCTACATGAATCTTTTTTCTCCATTGTGTCAAATTAAGGGTCAAATTCTCATCTAAATCTAATAAAGAAAGATCATTTCTAATATTTTCTAACCAAGTTTTTTTAGATCTACCTCTACCTTTCTTAATATAAGGCAAATCTAATACATCTACATTCTTAACTGGGTCTCCAGAAGGCTACCGTTTTTTGTGACCAAACCATCTAAGGTGATTCTCTCTAATCTTATCTTCCACTGGAGCTACTCCAACCTTTTCACGTATATGCTCACTTTGTATCCTGTCTTTAAGAGTAAAGCCATTCATCCACCTTAGCATTCTCATCTCTGCAACACTTAACATAATATTATGCTTCTCTTTTAATGGCCAACATTTTGCACCATAAAACATTGCATGTCTCACTACCATCTTATAGAATTTTCGCTTAAGTTTGACAGGGACTTTTCTATCACATAACAAGCCCGATGCATTCCTCCACTTCAACCAACCAACTTGAATTATACTAATAATATCCCCATCTATTTCATCATCACTATGAACAATAGACCCAAGATATCTAAAATGTGTTCTCTTATTAATGACTTGATTGCCCAAAGTCACAATCCCTCCACTAGATTTATTTTTACTAAAATTATACTCCATATATTTAGTTTTAAATCTACTAAAACGAAAAAACTTTAAATTCTAAGGTTGACCTCCATAATTCAAGTTTACCTTCAACTCCCTCTCTAGTATTATCAATAAGAAGAATATCATCAGCAAAAAGCATGCACCACGGTACAATCTCTTGCAAATGTCTAGCGAGAACATCCACGACTAAAGCAAAAAATATGGACTTAAGGTTGATCCTTGATGTAATCCAACTGAAATACAAAAATACATGGTCAAACCACCTTGTGTTTGAACACAAGTAACAGCTCCTGCATACATATCCTTAATGACTTGAATATAAGCATTATTAACCCCTTTCTTATGTAGAACTCTCCATAGCACTTCTCTAGTAACTTTATCATATGTTTTCACTAAATCAATAAATATCACATGTAGATCCTCATTCTCTGTATCATCAAACCTCTCAATAAATGTCTAGCTTCCATAGTAGACCTACCTGGCATGAATTCAAATTGATTTAGAGAAACATTAGTTTCACACCGCAACCTATGCTCCATAACTCTCTCCCATAGTTTTTAGTACGAGATATTAACTTGATTCCTCTAGAATTCACACAATCTTGTGCATCACCTTTATTCTTAAAAATAGGAATCAACACACTCATTCTCCGCTCATCTGACATTTTTTTAGTCTTCAAAATAATATTAAAACGTTTAGTAAGCCAAAAAATTCCTTCATCTCCTAAGCATTTCCACACCTCTATTGTCATAGTTCTATGGAAGAAATTAAATATGAGCTCTGACAATAATAAGAAATCATGCCACAATAAAAAGATAAGTATCTTATAGCTTCAAAGGTACAACCTTTCACGTCATCTGTAACATTTGATGGATAGAGTGACAATTGCACATTTGAATTCCCATTGCCAACAATAGCATACTGTGAATAAAAGCCAATCTCTGCTTCCATCTTAGCTGAAATTTTAACAGGTTGCTCACCTGTAAAATGAGAGTCACCTTCATTTTCAAGGAGTGAATCTGTTACAACGCTGAAACCACAGGAATGCTCACTCCCTGTATCCTTCTCAGCTGCATCTACATCTGTTTCTTTTCGGCTTAAGTCGCTGCAAGGAAAAGCATATTCATCTAACCCTGGAGGAGGATACCATGTTGATTCCAGTGTCTTAACATTGACAAAGTAATTGCTCTTGTAGAAAGGATCCCAAATAACCCTCCAGCCCCCATGTTCACAATATATGAAGTTATCATGGCAACCACCCAATGTACAGAGTGAAAACTCTGATAAGACAGAACTCCTCTGCCAAGTATGTGTTTCCCCTTTCAGATGCATATTACAGCACAATGAAGATGAATCTTCAGAGAATATGTCAAGATCATGTTTTTTCACTAAACCTCCATCGTGATGAAATAGAGCCTGAGAGCATACATCTCCCAAAATTTCTTCAGGACAGCTGTCACCATGTAAACTTAACGAACCTAACACTTCAGCATTCAACTGAAAACTAACTGGAACTGTATCAGGTGAAAACTCAAGTTTGTCAAGGTTTTCACTATTTGCATCACTCACTTCATACAGAAAAGGTTTCTTAACTGTTTCATTTCCGCTACCCAAAGCGGATGCACTTACAGATTCATCTAAGTGCAAATCACCCCTACCGTGCACCTTGGCATCATGACAAGAAGTATCAACCTGGACTTCCACAGCATGTAAACAAGAAGACATATTAGTGCTACCATGCAAATATGTTGATGAAACAGGGTTCTCCATTTTACTGAATACCATGATTTGAGGAACTGGGTTATTTCTCTCCTTTTCATGTCTAGCAAATTTTGGTTTTGTACCGTTTCTTTTAGATCTGGAAGTTACATTGCTCCTCTATAGCAATGTAAGAAAGGAATGCCAAACAAGAACAAATTAAGATATGAAAATTAAGAAGTTTGAACATTCTGATTGATAAACTTATTGGAGTAATGGTGCCACTTACTGCTTTGCTCGTACCAAACGAGAGTGGAAGCCCCAAGGCATCCATTTCTTGAACCAACTCCAGATCTTCCACAGAAAGGTAGTCTGTAAAGTTACAAAATTGATGAGATGGCTTATGATTACAACTCACAACTAAAATAATGGAAAAATAAAAACCAAATGGCGATGGAAACCAAAAAATTGATTATAAGAAAATCTAACTGAGCAACAAAAAAAAATAATTAAAAGAAACAAATCACTAAAAGAACATGACAGTGCAAAAACAAAATCTATTCATTTTATCATGTTCATGAGAATATAACATAACACAGAACTGCAAATTCCAATTATAAACCATCAAGGGTGTTTTTTCAATTTAGAAATCAGAGCTAAAATAGCTCTTAATGAAACAATCATTTTCCTTAGCTCCATAAAGCACTCTTCGTATTTAGCAATTCATATTCATTGAATTGCACATTTCCAAGACATCAGAACTATGCAGGTACAAGAAGAAAAACTGGCCCAAGTGAGGCTCCCATTTCACTCTTCTTCTTTCTCTCTCAAGTGGTGGGTAGTGTGAGAAGCTCATGGGTCACCTCCTCGCTCCAAGGAAAGGAGGATAGTGGTGAGGAGAGATCTGGTGCTAGCATTTTCAACTACATAGGTTCATCGAATTATGGGAAACCGGTGGAAAGCCAGGTTACACCTAAAGGTTCACCGCACAATGGCAAAATCTCATAGCAATTCGTTGGAGGATTGGTGCCGGTGTATAAGTGTTGCTGTGTCAAAGCAGAATGGATTTGAATCCAACCTTTGTTGCTGGAAGTATTACCGATGATGCAGTTGTTTCTAAGCATGAGGGGGTTCAAACTCAGCTATTCACGGCCAACTTCAAATGGAGAGCAACAATGTTGGAGTCGATGAAGGGGTTGTGAAGTACCCGTGACTTATCTCCAATAAGGCAAGGGAGGACTCCTTAGAGGCTTGAGGTACAACCTCTGGCAATATGGGTGTGTCCAATACAGTCATTGCTAACCATCTCAACATGCAAGAATCCATGGGTGTTAAATCCTCCCTATGTGGAGTTTTAGGTGAATCTCACACGAACGATGCAACATTGCACAAAGCAGTCCAGGCTTCAGTTAATTCTATCAAATTTCTAGAATGGATGAATGCAATGCAACTCACGTGAATGGTGTTATAAACGAAATAGCTAAGGTACATAAAACCATGTCAATGTCTAGACAAATTGATGTCTGCAGTGAGGCTCATGTCAAAGATGAGGTTTCTATAACTCTACATGCTGATTATTCAACAAAATATTGCTAAGCTCGAGCAAGCTCTCGTGGGTAAGCTATTAGGCAAGGGATTGCAGCATTTCTTGTCATGCAATGAACTAAAACAAAAATGGTCGCATGTGGGGGATTTTCAACTCCTTATTGCCTCTCCAAACAATTTTTTTTGCTTATTTCAAAGTGTGGAAGCTAAAGATGCCACTTAATAGGTGACCTTGGTCGATTGGAGGACATATCATTGGGATGGACCAGTGCGCGCCCTCATTCTCACCCCAATCAATACAAGTACTCGCTTCTCAGATTAGGATTTGATTGCCACACCTACCATTTATATATTGGGATATAACATAAATATAGCTCATATCGCCTCCTTCATAGGGCAACCATTGTGGGTGAATGAACCTACGAACACGTGGGGGAGAAATAGCTTTGCTCTCATTTGTGTGATGGGGGTGCAAAGAACATGCAACAACATCAAGCCTTTATCCCACTACATGGGATTGGCTACATGAATCATTTTTCTCCATTATGTCATGTTAAAAGTCAAATTCTCAATTAAATCTAATAAAAAATGTCATTTCCAATATTTTTAGCCAAGTTTTTTTAAAGTCTATTTCTATCTTTCTTAACATAGGTCAAATCTAATACATCTACTCTCCTAACAGAGTCATCAGAATGCCAACATTTTTTGTGTCCAACCATCTAACGCGACTCTCTTTAATCTTATCTACCATAGGAGATAATCCAACCTTTTCACATATTCTGTCTTTAAGAGTGAAGTCACTCATACACCAAACCATCATCATCTCTGCAACACTTAAACTTTATTTTAGGCTTCTATTTTAATGGTCAACATTCTGCGTAGAGGTATTAGATTTGACTTATGTTAAGAAAGATAGAGGTAAACCTAAAAAGACTTGGCTAAAAAATATTAGGAATGACCTTTCTTTATTAGATTTAAACGAGAATTTAACTTTTAATAGGACACAATGGAGAAAAGGATTCATGTAGCCGACCCCACGTAGTGGGATAAAGGCTTGATGTTGTTGTTATTGTTGTTGTTGTATCTTAATGGTCAACATTCTGCATAATAAAGCATAGTAGGTCTCATCAACATCTTATAAAACTTTCCCTTAAGTTTGCGTGGTACTTTTCTGTCATACAATAGAACTGATGCATTCCTCCACTTTAACCATCCAACTTGAATTCTACTAATAATATCGTCATCTATTTCACCATCACTTTGAACAATAAACATGAGATATCTAAAACATGTACTCTTATTAATGGTTTGATCGCCCAAAGTTACAATCCCGCCACTAGATTTATTATTACCAGTGGCGGAGCCAAAACTTTTATTCAAGGGGGGGCCTAAATTAAACATTACATGAAAATTACCCATTAACGGCATAATTTTCCAACGGTCAATTTTCCGGCAGTTTTCCAATGGTCAATTTTCCGGCGGCTTACCATCTCATCCGAAATGTTAGAATACATTAAAATAATTTCGTTTGTTGTTTCATTATTGGAGCAAAAAGGAGTTGTAAGATCAAAATTAAGAATGTCAATAATATGGCAAGAGAGGAAAAAAAGCCATTTGGGAGCGATCTCTATTTGGGCTTCTGATAGGATATTGTAGCTAGAGTAAATTTTTTTTTAAAAAAAGTTATTGTGAAAATTAATAAGAAAATTATTCTGAACTAAGCCTAAAACATATTCTTGCATGTTAAAACATAGAATTATTATGTCTTATTTTTTATAAAAATAATGCTAATTTTCTTATGTAAATTGATCCTCTACATTTAAATTTGATTAAAATAAAAATTATATATAGCACGTCATTGTATTTAAAATTTAATTTTTTTAAGATAATATATTTTTAATTTCTAAATATGATTAAATTATTATATCATTTTTATACTGTCATTGCCCTAATCCTCACAAGAGTCACGAACGAATGGTTCGATTGCTCTCGCGACCAGTTAGAGCAATGATTCAGAGATACAATTATCATGATGTGATTGATCCTATTACTTTGATTGAGATAGAATATGCAAATGAGTGGCTAATATGAAAATTAGATGATGAGTCTGATGAAGAAAAAGACTTTATTTCTAGAGAGGAAGATTTAACTTAGACAAGTGTTACAAAGGCTACTGGTGTTTATGATAAAAGCTACAACATGCAGGAAAGATCTAAAGGCAAAGAAAAGGAATCTTCATCTAAGCATGATGTTGTTGCTAATGAGAATGAGGATGAGGAGGGTAATGAACAGGACTATGAAATAAGAGACAATGCTGATAAAGATAACGAAGTTTTTTTGACATTTGCTGATGATAATGATTCCCAAGAAGAGTAGATTAAATTCTTATAAATTCATTAACCTTTAAAAAATGATTGTAATATTTTTAATTATGAGATATTTTGGTGTTGTTTACTTGAACTTATATATATGAGTACGATTGTCTTTCATTATTATGATATCTTGTCTTTCAGTTTAATGATATTTCATATTCATGCTTATTATTTTATAATTCTTGTATAGTTTACGCCAAGTTCAAAATGGCGCGTGCCGCGCTATGCACCATAGCTACAAAGAGACCTTTGTGCCGTGGTGCGTCATTCGCCGTTAACAAGCATGCCCTCAACCTTTTTAATTCTGACTTGGAAACCGACATAGATGGCTTTAAAATTTTGTTATAACACTTATTATCATAAAAATATAAATTTATAATAAACAAAATCTTACAATTGAGATATGGATTCTTTTCTCTAAAACTCCCATCAAAATAGATTTGGAAATCTAAAAAATTTATAAATTAAATAAAGATAATCATCTCATCTCCTACAAATTAACAAAGGCTTTGATTGTGTGGTGAATTTTAATAATTACTTCTAAAAATCCCTAGAAAATAATAGAGAATGATTATATAAATTAAAAAATTTAGTCTTGAATGAAAAAAAAATGAAATTTGCTTAATTGAACACAAATTATATGATTCATTGAAAACCTTAGAACTATTTAAACTCAAATAACTATTCACCACTTACATCTTTTGAACTTTTTTTCAACAGTTTCCTAAGGTTTCCTCAAGAAAATATAGAATTATTAAAAAAACAGAAAAAAACATACATAACATTTTAAAACATAACATTATGTTGGTTTTTATTTTCACAAAAAAAGTTGGTTTTTGTAAAGGCTTGCAGGCCTCTAAAGCTACGGGTAAAGTCTCGGGAAGAGAGAGAGATATATAGAGAAAGAGTGAGAGGAAGGGACAAGGCTCACACGTGTATTAGGTTTTCAACTTTTCATACAGAAAAAATTACCAAAAAAAGTATATATATTCATCAGGCCAGTGGGGGCTTGTAACAAGCCCTCAGTCTCATCACAGCAACAACTAGCAAAAGTTAAACAAAAGCATGCCTGGGAGATGAGCCATGTTAACAACAAATGAATATAATGTGCGTAAGAATAGAATAAATCATAACAAAGCCCAAGAAAAGAGTACATGTAAGTAAATATAATGAATCATAATAGCGCTCAAGAAAAGAGGCGCAATAAAGGTGTAATGGAAATGAAAAACAACATCAACAATATGCTTTCAGCCTTGTAGCAATACTAAGGCACAATTAATATTTAAATAATAGCCCATTGATATTACACTTGAACCAATGTGTAACTGAAATTATCCATGATCCAAAAAAGTTTGATTCCATGCAAAACCATATAAACCAATATAATATTAGGAAATAGCAAACAAATCCATTTCTAAAGGTCATCAACATACGCATTTCTAAACTAACAGAAATTATAAATAAAATAAACTAATTAATGAAATTAGATAACTTTGCTGATATTATCGATTAATATGATGCTTCTGGTAAGAATAAGCAGAAAAATTTTCAACAATTTTTAATTTAAAGAAACATAAAACAAACTAGAGAGATTTTACTCCGCTGATGATGAATGATTCCAACTAACAATGGAATACATACATTAAATCAAAAATACTTTATTTTGTACATGAGGTACTGATGAACGGATGAGTACAATAAAATGGTACGTTCAATTGTTGAGCATGGCTGCATAATTACTTTTTAACAATCTGGGGTAGGGGAAAGGAGTTGGCTTTGTGGTTTAAAATAATCCTCAAAACTGATCACAATGTGATTCAGATCAGTGTCCTTAACAAAGGACATGTTGCGTTGAATGGAAAGGATAGGAGCTTACCTACCAGTGATGGTATGGTCTGTGCTCGACTCCTCAATAACAGTGGTGCAAGGGTTCTGCAATGTTTAATAGATTTTCAATTACTAAAGAGAACATTAAGGCAGTTAAAAAATAATAAGCAATACAATCGTCATACACATACACACACACAAAAAAAAAAACAGAGAAGAAGAGTAAGAGAGTGGGATAATATTTTTGAATCTCCATATGCTCTTTTAAGACAACTTTTTAGGACTTGAGAACCAAACATTAAGAATGGCATTGTCCAATGTGTTCTTACCCTCTTAGCCTTTCCACTTTTAAGTAACAATTTTTCTTTTTCAAAAATGCATTAAATCATACAAATTATTTAGTATTTACCGATACAAGCAATGAAAATAACATCAAAGCCTTTGGATTATAAGAATCTTTTCCAAACTCGTTAGAATCACCAAGAAAGGAAATATTGGGCAGTAGCATGCTCATAGAGAGAATAGACAGTTCCACTTCCACAACTCACATTTAAGAATTACATGCCTAAAGTAAAAAATTATCAGTTGTCATATTTTTAAAGTTCAGGGTTTATTGTACTATATTATATTGAAACTTTGCAATTTTTATTAAACCTCTGAATTATGTATAAGCATGCCCATACAGTCGATGATCAAAGCACTAAATGGCCCCTTTAGCAATAGAGGCATCATCAACAACAATATCCTATACATTTTGGGTAGGCTTAGCATTGTTATCTTTTGCTCATCATGCTTAGAACTGCCTTTTTTATTAATTCACCTAGGTTGATTTTTCAAGGACTTATAATCATGTCGACTTTCTCATATCCCAATTTTATGAATTAATAAGATAATTTCTACATAGCTTTTTTTTTCCTAAATCGTTTCATATGCCCCAAGATCAAATCATTATTATATGTATTCAACTACTTATTATTCAATTATTCTCTAATCATCGATGATAATATGAATTCTTTTCTCAAATGAAAAACATCATGATCATTGCCAATAAATACTTGTAGGTTTGTAATTCCTTAAGTTTGGGTTAATCAGATAATGTCTAATAGAATGGATCCTGGAGATGAGCTTAATAAATAAAAAAATAGCATCCAATGTCTAGTGATGCAACAACAAATCACAATTAACTGGTTATAATCAAGTTACAATTTTTTTTTCTAATGTAAATAGAACTAAGGGACTATTTGGCAGCAAGATTTATGCCCAATTTGAGCAGGATTTATGCTAAACCCTGCCAAATAGGATTTATGTCACCATTCGAACTTACTTCGAAATAAATCAGTCGCCTGCTCTTTTTTGCGGAGCAGAACCCCCTTGTGTCCAGGGGTTGCCCCCCCACCCCTCAAAAAAAAATTATTTATTTATTATATAATTCTTTAGATAATTTGTCCCTAAATCTATGTTTTGGTCTTTATTGTAAGGGTTTTAAGGCAATTGTCTATCCTAAAAGTTTTAAAATATTATGATCTTTAGGCAATTACCCCTGTATAATTAAACAAATATGTAGAGGTGTTATTGTCAGGTCAAACCCCGCTAGGGGGCGCTACCCCCTTGGACCCCCAATATATCTGCCAACAGTTACTTATAAGTCCCCCCCTTGAAAATTATAGCTGATTCCTCCCCTGTTTTGCGGTAAATCCTATAGTTTGGCAGAATTAACATTTTACCGAGCGCAGGATAGTGGGAGAGCGAAGCGTCCTGGGCTTCTTCAAGCATCAAGTCCTCTTCTGCAATTAAATCCTGATTATATTGTCAAACAACTCCACATGATTTAACAAGATTTAACACTTATGTTACTAAACAGCTTTCCAGATTAAACTTAAGCATGATTTGCTAAATCCGGAATTACAGGATTTACTAAATCCTACTTATTGCCAAACACCCCCTGAGGGGCTGTTTGGTAGCAGGATTTAGGACGGATTTGAGGCGGATTTGAGCGAAATCCAGCCAAACGGCCTAAAATGCAAAACCAAATCTCACGGCAAGTGAAATCCGGGATAGAAGGAAAATTCCGACGATTCGAGCGAAATCCGGGATTTCGGAAATCCTGTATTTTGCGGGATTTACGAAATCCATGCGCTAGAGTAAGAGTCGCTTGGATAAATCCTGCTTTATAGCCAAACAGTCACACATGATTTAATTGGATTTATCATAAATGTTACCAAACAGTTTTCAGGATTTAACCCCTCAGGATTTCGTAAATCCGGGATTTGGAGGATTTACGAAATCCTACTTAAATGAAATCCTACATTCTACCAAACAGCCCCTGAAAGTATATGATGCGTCAAGTTTTCAAAATTAGAAAGGAATGGAGCTATGAGAAGCTTCAAATGTACCTGCTATACTAGTCAATGATAATAAGCATCTTTCAAAAAAAAAAAATCTAATCAAGGCCGATTACGATCATATTTAAAGTTTAAACTATACAATAACATAAATTCATTGCTAAATCAGGGATAAACCTACATACATCTTATAACCAATCACAAAATAATTACCAATTTTCTTGTCTGAAACGACGAACTTGCCGCTGGCGCTAAGCTCAAATAATCATGGTGAGTTGAGGTACCCGATGTGATAACCCTTACATCGTCCCTACCCAAACAAGTTTAATAAGCAACAGCTAACATGAAAAAAAGAGTTTACGGTTTAAAGAAGAAATAACCATCACTTGCCCACCATAAAAAAATCTCAGTGATCCTGATTAGAGGCTTTGGCGCTTTAATATTGGGAAATTTCATACCAGCTTCGCCGTTCGCCATCTCAGGACTATTTTTACGCAGGATTTAGGCAAGATTTATAATAGTAAATCCTGTCGAACGATCAAGTAAACTAATTTAAATCATGCAGACTCTTAAATCCCGTTTATTTCTTTTGGACTCTTTTGTCTGTTCTCTGATTGTACTATATGTGAATTATAGTATCCGCTGCTGTTTCTTTTCTGTAATGTAATTATCTCTGGCTCTGGATGTATGTATTGATACGAACAACGGATAAAGAAACTGAAAAGAAAAAGAAATGAACGATCGATCAGAGGAATCTTTTCGCTACACGGATCTTGGGTCGTTATATGAATAGTGGGTAATTTAGCGACCGGGCTAAATGTTTCGGTGTAGTCTACGTCATACTCTTGATGATTTCCAAGAGCAACTAGTCTAGCTTCGTGCTTAGCGATCGATCCGTCGGCATGGAATTTGGTGCGATATATCCATTTTGATCCAAGAACATAGGAGTTTGGAAGTGGAATGACAAGGCTCCAAGTGCCTTGTTTTTGCAACTTAAAAAATTCAACTGCCATAGCAGCCCACCAGGACTCAGTTTTAGAAGCTTCTGTGTATGAGGTAGGATTGGTAGTATGGGAAGAGGAAGTGTTCTGATGAATTAGATTTAGGCGGATAGTAGGTTTGAGAGAACATGTTTGTCGTCTGGTGATCATAGGATGACATGAAACTGGCAGAGAGTGGTGTTGTGTTGATTGTAGTGGACACAAAGCACGGTGTTAATGTGTAGATCGTAGTCTTATGGTGTCCTGAGGAGTTACCATAGAGGTTATGTGATTAGTTTGAATTGATGTCAGGGTTAGAAGACAAGGGGAGAGAGATGCTGTCAGAGTTTGTGTAATCGTGGTGGTATTGGCAAAAGGAAAAGATTGCTCATTAAAACTGATACGGTGAGACATGATTACTTTGTTGTTAGCTAAGTCAAGGCATTTATAGCATTTGTAAGTGTCAGAGTAACCCAAGAAAACACAAGATTTGGAGGTTGGTTGTAATTTGTGACGAAGTTGTTGAGGAGTGAGCGAAAAACATGCACAACCAAAAACTCGTAAATGAGTATAGTTTGGTTTTGTTTTAAAGAACAATTCAAAGGGTGAGATATGATTAGTGACTGACAAGGGCATGTGATTTATGAGATATACTGACGTTGCTACAGCATCTGACCAATATTTGTAAGGAGCTGATGTTGCTTAAAGTATGGCCCGGGTGGTTTCAATATTGATATGACAGTGTTTCCTTTCGGCAACACCATTCTATTCCGGAGTGTAAGGACACAAAATTTGGTGGAGAATGCCGTTAAATTGGAAATGAGTTTCTAGAGTAGACCAAATCTCAGAAGTAGAGGCAAGATTAATGATATAAGGAAGAACATAAGAAGATATAATGGAACAAAGGACAGCTGCTAGGTTTTGATCCATAATAAACCCTTTATTGTATGTCTCGTTAGGGGCAGTGGTTCCATCCGATTGACGAATGAGACGAGACGGAATGGAGAGAGTGTGATCAAGAAACAATTCAAAACCATTAGCATGAAATTTTTTTTGTGATTTGTGAGCGCCACAGTGGATAATTTTCCGTTGTGAGTTGATTAGGAGAAAAATTTTGAAGTAAGATATCACAAACTTTAGATTGGATGAGATGGACGGTCCGGCGAGATATGCCGGTGCAGCTTGAACTTCTGTCTGAGAGGAGACAGTGCTTTCCATCGGAGCCAGCAATAAGTCACACATGCTCTAATACCATGAAGAAAGAGGAATCCTGCAAGAACAACGAAGAAGAGAACAAAGCCAGAACCAAGAAGAAAGAACATGGAAAGAATAGAATGGTTCTTATTATCCAGAGGTTACAGCATTACACCACTATATGTAGACAAAATAGAGAATAACGATCAGCTGTATACCGAATCCGATATTGCCACCTCATTACATAATAACATAAAATACATTTATTATTTTGTGTCTAATAATCCTCCTCTAAACTACCCTGACAATGATTGATGATATCATCGTTGCCATTCATTCCATTATCATCTCCTCTTAGATGTCTGCTTCTAGCATTGAGATGGTTTGCTAATAGTTGGAGTCAAATGAATCTGGAAGGGTGTTCATTTTTATATTTTCAAAACTTATGAGTGTAAATAGTGATTTCAGGATCAAAATTTGTAAATCATAATATTTTAGTCATTATCTATGCAAGTCTTTCAATAATTTAATTGGTTATATTAATTTAAATTCAAAATTATTCTAAATGATTAATATCAACATCATCAATTAAGATGTTTAGGTTAATTAATTATAATTTTTTTTAATCTAGTTAATATTAAATTAAGAAATTTAAATATAGTAAGATGCCCCAATCATATAAATTCTTAAATCTTGAAATAAATAGCCAAACGGTTTACTTATATTTGATTGAATTTAATACCTATCTTACCAAATAATTTTATAATTTTAATAGAAATTAATTGAATTATTACTCATATTCGACTCTCAAATGAATGTGCTTCCCTCATAGAGGTTCACATGCCCATATTCTAAGGGTAAAGCTCTTCTCTTTGTTGCATATATCATCAATCAAGTTCCTTCGCATTCTCTCAACTTCAAAACACCACACAAAACACTCATAGAAGTTATTATTGCTCAAAAGCTCCCAAATATATCTTATCTTCAGATATATTGCCTATGTTTAACGGTCAAAACAAGAACTTGGCAAGCTAACACCATGAGCCTTAAAATGTGTATCTATTGGATATCATATTCATCAAAGAAGCACATAGGTGATACCATACCGAGATCTAAATTTCATAATACTACTATGTTTCAGAGGTGAGTATTTCGAAAAAATTCATACTCTTATGTAATATCTCGATGAAAGATGAAGTGAAAATATCATAAACATGTGAATTATTTTAATTGTAGTTTAGAAAATTTATATTTAAATTGTAAAAGCCTGAATAACGGAATAACAAGTGAATAGAAGGATGAGTTAGAACTAAGTCAAAACTTTAGTCAAATGCCCACCCTAAGAGCCAAGAAACATCTAAACATTAGTCTGAGTATCTCCCAGATGATGCATCATACCAATTGATGCTTGTTCTTAAGCAACACTTAAGTTATTGAATACATAATTACGATAATGCCTCTCCAAGGATATTTCAAAACCTACTTACGAACCTCAATTGTCTAGTAAAATAAGATATCATATGAATCAATGTATATCTACATACTGCTTGCCACAAATTAATCAATCATTTATAAATTAATGATCTACTATACCTAAGTATGTGCATCAAAACCTTATGGATCCAAAATGGAAAACTTAGATAAATGAAAAGATGGCCTCCTTATAAAAGAATCAAATATAAGAACTCGATGATCGTCCCTCGGGAATAAAATTAGTTTAGCGTGGAAGAGTCTCAATTTTGAAATAAAAGTTGATGAAACGATCAAACATTTGAATTCAATATTAGTGGTGAAAGGATACACCTAAACTTTTTTGCATTGGCTACACTGAACACTTGCACATATAACCAAAATCAATACATCTTAAGTCTTGTTTTCCTTATTTGCCAATCTTGATTGTCTATATTGTGTATGTTCTAGGTATACTCATTCCATTCTTGCATAATCCTAGTGAGCAACATATAAATATAGTGATGCCAATTTTGTCGTATCTAAAATTTGTCTTAGGGCTTAGGGATGGAATTTTTATTCTATAAAGATACAAATGAGTAAAATATTCATATTATTACTTGTTTATACTTTTTTTTTCTTTTTTATTATTACTAATTGTTTTTATAACTCACGATTGATTGTGTAAATGAATATAAATATTATTTTTTTTTTCAATTAATTTTTTTTTCTATTATTCTCGCTTATTTTTATTAACATAATTTTTTTTAATCTGATATCAAAAATTTAAACAGCGCACTATATATTTATAAAGTTTTATTCGCGAATAGTTTTTTTGATAATTAACCCCTGTTTTTGTTGTTCCGAAGGACGAAGATCCATTTCCCTCGTCGATGCAGGCTCTCACCAGCCACTCGTTCAAGCTATTCTCACCGCTCCTTTCTTCCACTTCTCATCGATTTCCTTACTCGACCCGCTCTTCCCCTAGACCGAGCTCAGGCCGTGCCTCCATGGAACGGTCTGGCCCGGATTTCCCCTACCTCCCGCCGGCCCATCGTGCCCTAATACTCAACCTCCTCGCCACCGTGGACGACCGCCTCGGCTCAGATCTCCTCCCTTCCGCGGTTCCTTCCGACGTTATCCGCTTACAAAATCCCCAGGGCTCTGCCCACGGTTCCGTCGACATCCGCACCGGCTCCCAAACTTCCCCGGTATGTATTGTATATTTTTTATTATTTATTTGATTATGCGTTCGTTTAATGCTAGAAATTTAGATGAGGTTCATGGATAGTTTTTTGATAATTATAATCATTTATTTTTATAAGGAACATCTAATTTTTCCGCGAATACAGGAAGCGAAAATATACAGCAGTGTATTGTTAAACCCGTGAATTCATAACTGCACGGCTGATAATTTATCCAAAATTTAACAGCTTTTTCCTAAATCTCGTCTCCTGTTCCCCAGGTCGATTTCGTCCTTCAATCCTGGCTCCACTGCCAAACCCCCGGCGGCGGCGAGATCAACATCGCCACCCTCTTCGCCTTTCTCAACTCCTCTACTGACGCTCCCCACTTCCTCCTCGAGCTAATCCAGGGCAGCCCCACTTCCCTTGTCCTTCTCTTGGACCTCCTTCCCCGCAAAGACCTCGTCCTCCACCCCGATTACCTTGACGAATTCTACCACCAGACAGATCTGGATGGCCCAAGGCGAGATCTTGAGAAGCTCCCGCAGGCATCACCGTACCGCTCTTCATCCCTCTTCATCCGCAGCGTTCTCTCACCGACGGCCATCGCCATCACCGTCGATTGTGGGAAGGAGGGGGATGTGAAAGCCATGGAGGATATCGTAGCCCGAGAGATCGGCAGCGCTGCTGAGAAGATCATTAGGATTTGGTTGGAAAAGAGCGCGGAGGTGAGGGGGCGGGTGGTGGGGGAAGGGGAGAAAGAGTTTTTGGAGAGCAGGGATGGATTGATAAAGAGGAAGGCTGTGGAGATTGATTTGGCGGCAAATTTGCCGAGGATGTTTGGCCCGGAGGTCGCGCAGCGGGTGGTGGCTGAGATACAGAAGGCGTTTAGAGTATAATCACTTCGAGTCTTCGTGTAGGATGATAGTTTGGGTAGCTGCAGAGCTGTGAGATGCCACTGCTATAAGCAATTGCTTAGTTCTGGTTTGTATTATGCTCAAATTTAAATGTTAAATTATTTTAATTTTTAATAATTTTTTGTTGTATCTCATAATCGCATTAATATATCAATCCTATGAAGTTAGCATTTTATTTAAAAAATATTAGTCCTAAAAATATATATTGGTATTAACTCATGAATTTACTTTAAATAGGAAAATAACTTAATTAGTAATTACATCCTCATTAATAGGTTCCACTAATAGGGAGGTCAATATTTGACACAACCTGAAAATCCGACTAGAATTCGACCCGAAAATTTCGAGTTAGGGCCAACCCAGACCCGAAACGGGTCGGGTTCAGGATCAACAAATCGACCAGTTTCAAAAATCGGATCAGGTTCGGGTTGATCCAATAACCCGAAATTGACCTGGAAACACAAGATTGATATGTTTTTTTTCCGTCTTTGATCTGAAAATTGGAGATCGACACATTTTTTTACCTGAAAATTAACAATTTTTTATCGGTCTCGGGTCATGTCAGGTTGACCTATATCCTAAGCTGGTCGAGTTCGGGTCTGAAAAATCGACCCGTTTGCAAAAAATGGGTCGGGTTCGAGTTAACCCGAATGGTGTCGGGTCAGTTTCGAGTTCGACTCAAACTCAACCCATGACCCGAAATTGACACATCTGCTCACTAAGCTTAGCTTAGGCTAACAATTGGGTACTTTAGCTCCAATCATAAGGTCTTAAATTAAAGACCTAACATATATGGGAATGTTTGGGAGCTTGTGATTAAGGATATGTTTGAAATTGCTATAGTATTTTTTAAAATTGATTGTGAAGTTACTGTAATTGAACTTAACTGTTTTGGTTATATAAAAAAAAAAAATTATAACATTAATTTTTTTTTAAATAGTGAGAAAATAGTAATCAAACAAAGTCATAATTGCTATATGAAAAATAAAGTTGCAAAAAAGTTGTCTTAAATATAGATTTTTTACAATATTCCATGCTATTGTAAATTTTGCAAATAATTTCTTCAAAAACCTAATAGGGATTTAATGTTACCAAATCATTGCTACACCTAATGATCTCATGAATAAGGATTTAATTTGATAAAACTACTGATCCTAACTGCTATAAAATTTACTTATAATTTCTGATCATTAAGCAAATTTTCTTTTTTTTAGCATTTAATGTGAATTATCATTTATTGAAATGATAATTTTGACATTTGAAATGAAAGAACTTTATTTTAAACTCCTCTAGAATAAAGCTACTTCGTTGCTTCTTATATGTATTAACTCATATCGTGATCCAATCAAGGTATCACAATTTTTACAAATTAAATCAAATTCTTGAAATAAAAAATATGATTGTTGCGTCCAGGAGTATTCGCGACAGTAGAGAAATATGAGATTTAACGTCTTAGCGTTGTACGAAAATCCGGCATGCAATCAGATAAGGAGAGAGGGTCTAGCATTTATGAGACACCGAGATTTTTACGTGGAAAACCCTTGAAAAGGGGAAAAAATCACGAGGTCTAGCCCAGTTTGAATGAATACACTAGCATTGTAGTTGATTACAAATGAGGTCCTTCCTTGGGGGAAGGCCTTAGCTTGATGTACATCTTATGGAGTACATTACATGATGTTAATACAAAGAGTCATTATTGACGTGTTCGTTTGGTCGGGAGGATCGTAGTCGACGGGCGACGGAGGTCGGAAGGCTTGTAGTCGGTGGGCGACATAAGTCAGGAGGACCGTAGTCGGCTGGCGACGGATGTCGGAAAGACTATAGTTGACGGGCTCCGTAAGTCAGGAGGACCGTAGTCGGCTGGCGACGGAGGTCAGAAGGACTGTAGTCGGTGGGCGACGTAAGTTAGGAGGACCGTAGTCGACGAGCGATGAATGTTGGAAAGACTGTAGTCGGCGGGCGACGTAAGTCAGGAGGACCGTAGTCGGCTGGCGACGAAGGTCAGAAGAACTGTTGTCTGATGACGAAGATCAGAAGGACGACGTCAGGTAGAAGTCCAACAAAGGAAAGAAATCCATCTTTGCATAGACGTCCAGCGAAATTCGATAACCGGTAGAAGTCTGGCGTCGGGCAGAAACTTGGCGAAGAGTGAAGGTCCGACGTCGGGTAGAAGTCTGACATTTGTTGGTGGCAGAGGAGAACTCCGGCTTCACTTGGGCGGAGTTTCGGCGTAAGGAGGGAACTCTGTTGCTAATTAGGAAGAATTTCAGCATCACATGTAAGTTGGGAAGAATTCCAGCGTTCTCCCGAATATCACGCAGAATCCCGATGTGTTCGGGCGGCAGGACGAACTCCGGCGGTGGTCGAGGAGGAGATGATTCTCCCTTTCCCCTTTCTCTTCTTCTTCTCCCTCTTCACCCCCCCTCCCCCCTTGTGAAGAATGAGGGCTCTATTTATAGTTTTTCAAGAGTGACATAGCTTGTAAATAGGTGTGAGATCAAAGGCAAATTGGGAGTGGTTTGAATGGACGGCCGATATGGACCCATTTGATCGTGCACCGTTTGTTGGTCATTTGAAGGCCTTAGTGATGTCAGAATTCGGCGATCTTGGGCTCGTTGGATTCGTCTCGTCTAGCCGTTCGATTCGAGTATAAGCTCGTTAAAATCGGAGACCGTTTGGTAACTCAAATTGTGGTTTGAACCTCTTCGCTCAACGCCTGCTCGAATCGCAGAAATCCTCTGATCAGCGCGATTTCGGCCGAAACGAGGATTTCGCTCGATCGTGGCCGTCGAGGCGATTACCAGATCTAGGGAAATAATTCAAATAATTTAGAAAGTGAAATGATATTTTAATAGGACCAAATTAGGTTGAACCAGGTTAAATTTGGCTAAGCTTCGGATTAGACTTGAGTCCGAACTTGGCCCGATCCGAATCAAATTGGGCTCAAGTCGGCTCAACGAAATTAATCGCACGAAACTGGGTTTAAAATAACGAATAACTCAAATCAAATTATATACGACGCGACAAAAACAAATTAATCGAGTCTAATTGAACACAATCGAGTCTGATCCGGCTCGAGTCAAGTCGATTCGAGCTCGAATTGGGCTCGACGGGATTCGATTAAATCGATCGAAGGCGCTCAAGCAAGCTCGAGCCAAAATCGAGGTCAACACAAATCTTGCATACTTATATTATACTTATATTCAAGTTGAGCTTCTCAACGAGATAAATTCAATTAAGTTCACTTAATTTTGAGATTTTAGGGCAGATAAAAGTTGTATAAATGATAAAAGATAAAAAAGATTCAATATTGTTCATTCAATTGGCTTTTATAAAGTTTTATGTAAATTAATCAAATTGCTAACTCTTAAAAAGTATAAATAGGCCAGCATTTTTTATATGAAACGATTATTGACCTAAATTTTGTAGATTTGGCTCTCTGCCTCCGAGGTATATATTCTTTCTTTCTTGTTCTTACTTTTCTAGAATCTTTTACTACTTAAATTTTCATTATATTTTTTACATCACAGTACAGTAGAAAAAGTCTATTTTCTATATACAGTAAAAGAAGAAGATATTTTTTCTCAAATTATTCTACATAATAGAAAATGAAAAATAATTGTATTGGAATTAATATAATAGAAGAAGTCAGCAAAAAGATTTCTCGCTAGTTATACAAATTCACCGAGAATTTGGAAGAAGGTGAAGAAAAAAATGATGAAGAATTGGAGGAAAACGATCATGAGATTCATTCAAGAATAGTCAAAAGTGTAGTAATTTATAACGACAATGATCAGAATGCCAATTATATGTCTAGTATTCAGAATACTAGTAGCAATAATAAAAATGATGATCAAATGGAAGAGGAAGAGGTGGCTTTTGATGCGTTGTTCACAGCAATCAAATATTCGTCTCAATCTAATCAAAGGATCCATGCGTGCTCAAAAACGTAAAACAATTATTTGGAACATCTTTCAAGAGAGATCTCAGAGATTTACAAAACTCTAAAAGGGTTGCCCAACATTTGCTACAAATGATTATTACTAGCAATTGATATTGTTCGCCTATTGTCACTCATTTACTGTCATTCGATTGCTATTGTCTGGCACCCTTCAACAATGATCCAACTATATCGTCACCTAACTATTATCTAGCATTGTTATTCAACCGTCATCGTCTCCCCAATTATCACCATCTAATATATCATTGTTGCTTGACAAATATTTTCCGACCGCCATCATAATCCCTCCACTAATTCTCTAGCAAGCTATATATATATATATACACACACAGACACACACACAATTTGAACAATTAATAATATGCTTAAGTCTAAACTTATATATACTCTTTTGCTGACTAGTTTGATCGTATTCCACTCTATAGTTTAGGGTTTAGCAACTTCTAAGGGCCTAAATGTATGTTCAACTTCTTACATAGTTTGTTAGCATATAAAATAGATATTTTATTATGATTATTGAATACAAATCCACAATATTAAACAGAGATAAATTTTAAAAATGAATTCGGCTAAATTTTTTTTGATAAGAAACAAATAAAAAAATTATGAATGATGCCAGTCGTTATCTTAGACAATAGTTGGCTCTGTTGAGATGGCGGCCATGCTAGCGGGCATGAACAGAATTGATCGAACCAGCCGCCAAATCAAACCAGCCGATCTGAATTGACCGAACTAAACCGGTTGCAGTTGATTCATGGTCTTGGCACATAACTAGTTGTGTCTTGCTCCTGCACAATTGGCTATTTGTGATTTAAGTTATTTAATTTTATAGGGTTTAGGATTTAGGATTTAGGGTTTAGGATGTAACCCTAAACTTTTCTTTAAACAGCCCCTAACTGAATGTGAAAGTACTTCGGAATGAATATAAAAAATAAAAAATAGAAAGCAAATTAAAAATATGATAATAAATAAATAATGAAAAAAAGAGTTTCAAATAAATAAATACACAACTCTCCTTGGCCTATTGGTTGAGAGCTTAGGCTTCCAACTAAGAGGTCCAAGATTCGAGTCTATGTGTATGCGTTGTGTGTGTGAGTTTGCCTTAATTGGCCTAAATGT